ATAAACAACAGCTTTAAAAATTATTTTCTTAAAATAAAGGAAATATTTATCTTAAAATAAATTCAGTCATGGGATAACACATTCAGCAATGCACCCCAAATGCATTTATTAACCCTGAAGAAGGAAGCCATTGCAAAATGAAGTTAACACAACCCACACTGGAGGGCRGTGTTGGCTGCCAGAATTACTGTCAGTTCCCGATAACCCAAAAGGGTTTGTGCAACCTTGGTTTTGGAAAGGCTGAGTGTCATATTAGGGCCTGCTGTGTTTTGGAAAGGTAAGTGTGCAGGCATATGTCTCACATGCTTAGACATCACATATTAGAATTTTTTTTTCCCCTTCAGGAGGAACTTTGGTGTGAGTATTGTCATTATCCATGGCAGAATCTGAAAAGATTGTTGTGGATTGTGGCATAAACCCACTATCTTATAGCTTCAGTCATGCACATCAACCTATGTTTCGGTTCCATACATGGAATAAGCAGTTTCCATGTCCAAATTATTTGGAGGAGCATTTTGACACAAGTGAGGAACCAGACAGATTGTAATAACATAATCCCAGTTAAAAGGGAAAGCCATTATTTGTTCTAGCTGAAATAAAGGAGTTGTTCTGCTAAAGATCAAGCGTCTGCAAAACAGCTGAAAAAAAGCATTTATGAAAGACTAATAAGATAAGAGCAATTTATCAGCTCAGTGTTCCTCCTTCTCATGCTTCCTTCTGAAATCAAATTGCAACATGTATCATGGTCACACTTAACTGTCTTAATGTCTTGTATCATTGTGTTCTTAAGGCAAAAAAACTTCCAGCTTAGTAACAATGTTTTAAAAATTACAGCCATGCATGTAAGCTAGAAGGGCACAAACCAATATATAATATAAATATGTATGTATTTATTAAGGTAAAAATCTTGGTATATAAGCTCATGTTTAAATGGGAAGTCAGTGTTTAGAAGAGGAAATAAAAGTTCAAGAAAATAAATGTCTTTAACAGAGAAAAATGTGCAGCTAAGAAGCATAATAGTTTACTTAGCAAACATTATTGTTACAAAAGTAGTAACTCTCATACTAAAAGAATAAACCAGAAAAAAAAACCCCACAACAAAATGGGAGTAAACATCTTGTCCTGCGCTTTATCAGCTGATGACATGTCACACATGATTTGTACTTCTCAGTCTGCAAACCAGAGGCAGGTGAAAGTCTCTGCTGAACATGTTGTACTTCGACATCTGTCAAAGAGCATCTGTCAGAAGCTCTCTTGCCTATCTTTAGCAACAAACAGAAATTGGTGTTTCCATGTAACAGTACAGCACAGCTTTTGCAGGATTTTTATAATAATTTGTAAATTATTTTGTGAATTACACAGGTTTGTGTAAAGAAGTTGAGAAAAATATTCTCAGTAGCAACAATAATTTTTCCTTCAAATGTTTTGCATCACTGTGAGTGGTTGTGATACAGAATACACACATTTACATATCCACCTTGCAGCCAGTTCTAATTACACCTTCTTGTAGCTGTGCTGTTGTTGGCTCCTTTTCACCCTTGGTAGCATTTTTGAAGGTATCAGTGCCAATATCAATTTCCCTTAGCTGCAGGATTCTCTGTAAATAGAAGCAAGCAGAATCTGTCATAAATCACTTTTTCTTTTTTTTTTTTGGAAGCAATTTGTGAGATCGTGACTTTTCCACCCTTTGCCAAGTCAGAGTATTTTGAGAGCTATCAAATGAGCAGTGAAAAAAACACAGTGAAGATTTTCTAGCACTTCATATCCTGTTAATACACAGGATTTTTGATAGCAATTATCAGGATAAGAGGCCTTTTTAGTAGCTTTTTTTCCATATATAACAGAGCTCGGGAGATTATCTTTCCATTCTCCTGTTGCTTTTTAGTGTAAGACCTTAAAGATCTATGTCCATCAGGAATGGACAGGATTCACTGGTTTAGATGGAGATTTTCTCTTCCCCCACTATAGAAGAGGTGTTTTCTGTCCTTCATATTTAAAACTGCAGTTCAGGTGGCTGCTTATGATCATTAGGAAATCCTTTCTATTTCCTTCCCACAGAACCTGGTCCTAGCCTTGGACTGGATCTCTGATTTCTCTCTTCTCTGATCTTAATTCTTCAAATGCTTTTGTCATTGGAAAGCCCACTTTCAATTGTGATTGAAGTTGAATTTCCTTACCAAAAGCACATTTTGCTCACAACAAGATCCCACATGTGAATCTCCCTACCAAGCTGACCCTGAGCTCAGCACAAGTTCTGCCCCCTTCCCTGGATCAGGAGGTTCTCTTGGTCTTGGTGTAACCCCCAACTCTGCTGACATCTTGCTTACCTTTCCCAAGGCCACTGACTCAGGTAGAACACATCCCTGATTCTGGGGTCTGATCAGGAAATATAAGCTTCTCTCACTAAGTGAGTCCCAGTTAAAAGCCAACAGAGTAGGTCTGAATTCCTTTCAAATTATGTATCGAGTGCCTTAACCTTGTCCTTGTTTCAATCTTGGCTTCAGTTCATCTGAGCAGACACGAATCCATCAGAAACAGGACTCACCATTCCTAATAAGCCACTGTCTCTTGTGTTCTTCCATGTGGGATCCAAATGCTCTTTTCTCAATAGCGTTGGATATTCTGGGTTTAGCTGCTTGTATATCCTGCTGCTTTGTGCTGATGCACCTTTGAAAACGACAAAATATAGTAAGGATTGTTAGAAGCCTTTTTGGTGGAATTCTTCTTCATTTCTGTATGTTAAAACACTCACTTCAGGTCCTAAGAGCAGGGAAATTTCATTCCAATGGAGTTAATCCAAATGGAGAAACTCAGCTGAAAATGTTTCCAATCTATTTTACTCCGTTGTGCCTTAAGAGTTCCATTTGGATAATTAGGTATGGCTTCCTGAAGGAAATCAAGTGCAGTCATTAATGGCAATCTGGGTGTCTGTTGATTTCCAGAACAGGTGTAGAAGAGTATGAAAAAACTGAAGTTTTCAGTAAACAGAGAACTTAGTTTTTTTTGGTAAATTTAAGCTTTCTGGTTTATACATCCAAAGCTATTTCCATATTGAAAAAGCTCTCCACTCCCTGCTCCTGTTGTATGAAATAATCTCTAGTTTGCTTTAATGGCTGTGTAACTGATTCCTAAAGATAATACCTTCTTTATGGTCACTGCCTGTGCTACAAGGCAGAAAGAAGCCTTTACACTAAGCTGRTCCTGCAAAAATCTTTTTGATCCTTTTCAAGTCTAGCTGTAAACAATGAAAGAATCAAATATTCTTAGGTTTCAAATGGCCCAGGACAACCTTCCTTTCCTTCATTATCTGGAGACAAGGCTTTCATTTTGTAGCCAAATAAGCATCAAAGGATTACAAACTTGGAAACAGCAAGTTATGGAGGATTATGTGGAACAACTGCGATGAACACTTTTATTATTATTACATTATTATTATTATTATTATTATTATTATTATTATTATTATTATTATTATTATTATTATTATTATTATTATTATTATTATTATTATTATTGTCAGTGCAATATTCCTTTGGCAGTTCCTGGTTCAGCATTTGTAACAGTCAGAGACACTGGTAAGTGAAACATTATGGGACTCATTAAGTGTAATTTTATAGATTGCAACTAAAACCATTGACACTCAATACGAATTTTTAATACAATGCCTTTTGTTGTACATTATATTGAAAATTGTATGTATATCCAAGAGAGTTTGATCATGGTTATGTTTCTGTTAACAATGATTAAGAGCAAAATAACATTTCGTTTACCACACAGTTCAACAAATTAACTGCACAGAGAGACTGAATTCTAATCCAAGAACTATTTCCACGTAAGCAAGGAACAATTGCTAAATACTGCTGATCCAGCCAACAGAGAACGAGAGTGTGCCAGAAAAGTAACAAATGAAACCCGGCCCTGCACACTGCTGTATGAACCACTGGGAACATCACGACTCTGGGTGTTCCTAATGGGGTGCCAGAAAKCTTTCTTCTTTCCTGGTGGTCAGGGGAAGATGCAGAGCCCTGCCTTGCTGCCTTGTACAGCTGAAAGAAAATGCAGTTTTTCTCCTTTCAGTAAACTGGAGAACACATGTTTTGCAGAGCCAAGAAGAGAATAAGGAAAACCAGCATGGGAGTAGACAGCATCTTGATTTATGTAACTCCCTTTTGAAGGACAGGAACATTTTAGGTTCAGTCAAGGCCTTGAAGTAAGTTCTTGTGCAAACCAACTTGAGCTCAAAGCCCATAGAAAATTTTCCTTTTTAGAAGTCCTCTAGCTTTTAGTAAGATCATGACATTTGTAGGGACAGGTGAGAAGAAAACAGCTTGGTATCACTGCTTCAGGGCTTGTGTGTCCCAGTGCAATGTCTGAGAATCTGGCAGAGGCTTCCTGGCATCTCCAGGTGAGAACACCGCATTCCTCTCTAGAAATTTGTGATACATTAGCAAAGGAAAATGCAGAACTGAGGAACCTCTAACTGTAGCCTGAGCTCATTAGTGAGGATTATTTGGATTAAAACCTTCCTCTCCTTGTTAAGACAAGCAGAATCCAAGCACAAGGGCAGCTGAGCTTTTGCCGTACCCTACAGTGTCTTACATGTAAGATCTGGCATTTGTCGGACATGGCCTGAAATGGTTTGTCTGCTTAAAGAGGTGGCAGATGACAATTTCTGTAGTTGCTAAGCTCTTAAATAACGATCACATCATTAAGTGCTGTTGAAATGCTCAATACTACATCTCAAAAAGAAGAGAGAAAAAAATAGCACTACAGAGCAGCACATGCTCCATTTATTACCAAAAATAAACCCCTGGAGGGTGAAACAGAATCAGCCTTTCTGGGGGAGACGGTGATCACCTCCTGACCATGAGCTGCAGCTGATATCCACCTGCACTGTACCCTCGTGAGCCAAGCTCTGTCTCACACACTTGGGCACAGATTAATCAAGAGATTCCCTAAAGCTGAGGAAGTGCACACCGGGCAGTACAATAAACTGTCCACACCAGGTGAGCCAAGAGTGCCTCCTAATCCATGGGGCTGGGGGCAGCTGGGGGGGCATTTACTCAAATGCCAAATCCAAAGGTGCAGACCTCAGGAAAACAGATACAGGGAACTCCAGACCGGCAGCTTCTGTTCCAGAGGTTCTCCCCTGGCTTTTTACAGTTCTGTATTTAGCCAAACTGATTTCTGTATCCCTTCACTGGACTTGATTCCTCTTCTTTCTGCCTTTCTTCATCAAGCCACGAGCAAACAACTGCTCTAATGGAACATGGAAGGTGCTTGGAAAGATAAACATTATGTACCCTCTCAAGAGCTTCCCTTCCCTTCAACACTGCTGCCACAAACATTGGCATGAAATTCTTATGGGCAAGAACTTGATGTCTTTACACACATGAAATTGTTTGAAGAGACATCTCAGTGTACAGTCACAGGAGATATTGGATTATTAAAACTGAAAAAAATAATTAACCAATAACTTTGGCTTCATTTCTGCATTTTGGGTTTTTCCACGGAGCCTTACCATCTTCCCCTGGAGTCACTGGCTATGACAGCTCAGCTGTAGGACTGACTGAGTCTGGAGTCAGGAGTTACCTGACCCAGGGTAAGCTCCCTGTCCCAGCAGCTCTCACCTCACTCCTGTGTGCAGACACGGTTCTTCTCAGTTCAGCCTCACCCAGCAGCTCCAGCCTTACCTGCAATTTCCCTGGAAAGACGACTTCTTACTCTCAGCTTGCAAAGGCACTTGTAAGAATTGAAGCCATTCCTGTTGATCTACAGTGGTAGAAGGGAGAGGAGACATTAGTGCCAGCCCTTTCCCTCCCTTCCAGACAAGCAGAGAATTACCTTGCACAGCCAGGCTTTCCAACAAGGAATATCCCACAAAATGCAAGTGGGTCCGTGTGTGATCCATGCTGCCATGCCCCTCCCAGTGCTGCCCGAAGGTGGGCTCAGCCATTGGCAGATGCCCAGGTGTCACAGGTGGGGGCTGCACTTCCCAACATCAGGACACAGCCATGGCACCAACCCCCCATTCCCTGCCAGCAGCTGATAAGGAGCCACTCAGGGAGCGCTCAGGTACCAGGGCCAGATGTGCAGCAGCTTTGTCCAAATGCTGCAGGCTCAGGCATTCAGTGAAAAAATGTAGCAAGAAATTAAATTATGTGACTTGTGCATTTTGAGTAGGGATGGAGACTCAGGGAGGCTCTTTACCAGTCCAGACTGGAGCACTCCTGGAGCAGGGCCTCTGCAACAAGAATTTCACATGTAAATTATTGGTTAGTGGGATAAGAAAAACAAACTGACCCTGGAATTCTGTAGCCAGTGTAACACCACAGCAGACCAACTAATCTCTGTGATTCACAGATTCTTTACATTTTCTTCAAAGTACAGCTGATTCCTGAAAGATTTCATGTGAGAAAAGGCTTCTGCCCATCAGGTGGTGAATGAATGTGGTATTAAATCTATTAGTCAAATAGACACAATTAATAAAAAAAAAAATTAAACTCATTGTATCACTGATAAGGTACAAATCATAAATTCTGGGAAATCCTACTTTGCTGAACAAATCAAGGAGATKATTTGTTCATCTTGGTGWTGGAAAATAATTACCAGATGATTTTTTCCATGAGAGCAGATCCCTGCAGCTCCATTGCTCTGACTACGTGTCAGCTGCATAATCTTCTTTCACATTTGATTGCTACACTGCAACTCTACGTTCTAAAAATTTCTGTGAAAAGAGGGAATTCCTTATTAAATTCCTATTTGGGATGGTTTCCAATCACAACAGTAACAGCACATTTTGCTGCCTGCCCAGATCTGAGACACCATAGCTGTTGCCCAGCCTCTTTCCACCTAACTCAGTTTCCCAGCCTGAGCTTCTGCAGTCACTGAAAATAAAATCAGARGTTTCATTTCRCTTTTTTTTTTRTTTTATYATAAAATTTTCTAATTCTCAGCTTTAAACATGCACTATTGTTTTAAAGGATATAAGCTCTTGTGTCCCATTTTCACATGCTTACTGCTGGATTTATTAGGAGAATGAATTTGCCCTTGGAGTACTTTAAAAAAAAAKWTATTTTWAAAAATTCCACATTTATTTCYTTACCAATGTACATGCAAACAAGTTTGCCATTTCCCAGTTGCCACCAGCCATTGCACGCTTGTGGTGCATGGCATGGTCTGTCCCATTCCCAGCGTGCCAAGGAATCCCTGGAGAGGAACAGTGACGCACCAGTAACATGTCTGAACTGTGCTATGGMAGCTACCAAATTGYAGTGTGGGATTTTCTGTTTTCCAGRGCAAATCTTGCCCTTACAYAAAATAACAGCAGGGGGAAGTAATGCCTCTGTCTGGAGTGATTCTTCTCCTCCACAGGCTACAGAAAAGCAATGAAMTGTTTGCCTCTTGTTTAATAATCATCACTGGCTGTCAAGAGACAGGTTTAGTGTGTTAAAATAAATGCTGTGYCCGTGATATTCAGATTTCTCTTCCCCTTTTACTAACAGCCAGACTGTTTAGTCTAATCTACTACCTGCACTCAGCTGAGTATTCCACTTAGCACTGTACATGCTCCAAGAAAAAGGCTCGTTCTCACAGCTGTGAGGGTTAGAAAAGATTTTATGCTTCTAGATATACAGCACTAATGCCTCCCCAGTTCTCATCTGCCTGCACAGCATTTCATGTCCTGGTCTGGAGCCCAGCTACTTTTTGCCCATGGTCTCCCTGGTCCAAGCAATTCCAACTACTCCCAAGGCACTATATTGTCTGTTGTTAAGCTGGCAGTATTTTCTGATTCTTTCAAATTAAAATTTAAACAAAGACTTGAATTTACAACAGCTACAGTTTCCAAGTGAAACAGTATAGCAGGAATCTGAGGCAAAAGCCCCATATGCAACAAGTGAAAAACAGATGCATTTTATTACTTGGAAACTGAAAAATATCTGAACTATTTTTTCCATTTACAAGTATTTCTTCATATGAGACTGTCCAACAGTAAAATCAAGAATTTCCCTAAACAATCTACAAGTTTTGCATATGCTTCTGACAGTGTAAAACACAGCCTTAATGCTACAACATGAAGTGCTAGACCCTTRAYCTCAGCAATACTGAGTAGGAGAGGAAGAAAACCCAGTGGGAACTTGGACAAAATACATCACAAAGCAACAGTGAGTGCACACTGCTCTCATAATTTGCACAAATTTCAGCAACACAAAGTTTATGGAAAACCATTCAGAAAGGCTGATGATGGCCCAGGAACAGTGTTGGTTCTTTGTGACAGGGGCTGCTGAACTACAATTAATGTGAGGAAAGCACAGGCTGCCAAGGGGTTATTTTAGTGTTCGGAGAGTGGCACAGGGCTGAGAAAGTGCCATCGACTTTAATTCAGCTGTTTTGCCAAAAATGACATTTGTCTTTGAAAAGGATAAACCAAGCCAAAGACAGAATGCAAACTCATCTATAATCAATAACAAATCTCAAAATAAATTAAACAGAGATGCAAAATTAGGTTTGGCCAATGAAGATTCAATAATTAAAGACATGGCAACAAAGTATTATTGGAAAAATATTTTTGGCTGTGTTGGCCCAYGGGGGCCACTGCCCTGGGCAGAAAGCCCAGCAGGGCAGCCAACACTTGCTCCAGCCCCACACCCTGCCTGGCTTTTGGATGCCCTCCCAGCTGGCACGTTCAACCCCATTTCCATCGCACCCCAAAATTAACCCTCCCTCCACGAGTGCATTCCCACACACAGCATCTGTACCAGCAGCATTTCCAGTGGGTATTAAAGCAGGGCTCAGCATCCTCCACAATTTACACAGGGCATGAGAACACCACATCCATTATTAGCAAACATCCTGCCTGTTGTGGAACAGACCCRAATGACACACACAGATTACATCCCAATACTGCACACGGATGGCAAAATCATTCTTCCAAGGAACAGCTACACTGCCTGACAGGAAACAGAAAGTAGGAAAAGCTTTATACAAGAAGTGTAAGGCCACAGCAAAGAGATSCCCTTGCATAGCCAATGAGACACAGAGCTACCACAGGACATGGAATCCTGTGGGATTCCCTTCCTCCTCACAGTGTTTGAGAAACCAATCCACAACCGAGCCCTACAACACCTTTGTGACAGACACAGAGCAGGACCCTTCAGCCACCACTTCTGGGCTTTGTCKCCTGGTTTTCTTGCTTACCTTGTTAAGAATTCCTGAAACCAACCTGTGGGATGTTCCTGTCCGCAAGTGCCAGGCTCTGCTGGCTGTCAGCGGCTGGCCCAGCACAGCCTTCCCTGGATGGGTTTTGGGAGGATAGGAGAAACATGTCTGGAGTCATGATGCTCCTGCCACTCTGAGCATCTATATTTGCAGCATTTTTGGTCATTCAGAAAAGGGCAAGGGGCAACAAACAGGGCAGGAAAGCGAACAAGAGGCTTCTYGTACAGAAATTCATACCTAAACTCATTCAGAAGGGAAACACTAAGGCCATTCAGAGAAGAGCTACCCTAGAATTTCTCTGCAAGAAGCTGAGAACAAAGACTCTTGAAACACCTCATAACAAATATTCATTTATTGTTTATTTCCCCCATATGAATCAACCATCTCAGAAATTCCAWCACACACAGGGCAGAAAAGGTTATATACAAGAGGGACATACRTCCCCAAAATAAGATGTACAGATTTATCATGGGAACCAAGAGGGAGGGGAAAGGACAAAACCAAAAACAAGGACATTGCAGTCAGACTTTGACTTTCAGATCTYGATCTCCATGTAAGTGGGGTTTTCAACTATTAAATAAATGGCATCTTAAAAATAGAACATTTGACAATTTCAACACATGTATTATTATTTCTTTTAAATAAATATTGCATGGAAATGATGCTGCTTTGCCACCATAGCTGCCTCCTTTCCTTCTGGGATTCAACAATCACCCCTGGTTTTCCTTGGATTAATGSTTTGCTTCTTAATGGCAAATGCTGTTTTTTCCACTGCTATGTTTTGTATTCTGTWTTTRTTTAATTTTTGTTTGTTTTTTTAAAGGCCTGAATAGGCCCATGTGAAAATGATGAGCTTCTTTCCTAACCCTCTGCAGGCCTCTGACCTGGCTCAAGGCTGAAATATGATGGCTTTTAAAAAAAATTTCCTATTATTTAAACAGTCTTCTCCATGTCCTGAAACAAAACCTACCTTCCTGCTGTGGAGCTTGGTAGCGACACTTCCACAGGATGCTTTCGAAGTGAGAGCCCACAGACCTGTGACACAAACTGCCTGTCACCTCCTTTCCCCCAAAGTCCAGGGGAGTTTGTCCTGGGAACAGGAGCAGCCCTGGCACCAGGGGGAAGTGCCTCTCCAGCAGGAGCCTGGGCTGACAGCAGGGAGGGACATGGACACACAGAACGGGAGTACCGGGACAGCCCTGTCCCCTAACACTATGCTACGATTCCTGCGGGCTCCCACAGTGGTTTTCAGGTTCAATAAAGCTTTCGTCTTTCCTCCTCCTCCTTAGCTGGTGATCCTAGAAATAGCTTTGTCTGGAGACAAAGTCCRAAGGTGGCATCGATCCTCCAGTCTGGGATTGAATTCCAAAGTGCACATCAGCCTCCAGGCTGGCTGCCCATCCCCATGCTTCCTGAGAACAAAACAGTTAATGCTGAGCCCTTCTCTGTCCCTGGCTTACTCTGAGCAGTTGCTGCCCCAGGAAGGAGCAGTGCAAGCAAAGCTCAATAGGTAAAATGGGGAAGGGGATCTTCTTCCATTTCTTAGGATAGCTCATCCCTGAAATTCTCTGAGACTTTCAACAAAGTGAACTKAAAAAGCCAGTCCCTTCAAGGTTCMGAATGGCCCAGCCATGACCCTGGTGGTCCTGCATTGCCAGGGAAGGTGAGAGGAGAGCTCCCCTGCTCTTGGGACCAGCATGCTCCCACCAGCTCCTCTCAGAGCCAAGAGGAGTCCAGGCTTCCCCATGGCCAGGGCCATTTCTACAGAAACTCCTTTTGGAAATGYRGACCTTTTGCTGATATTTATTTCCTGTCCATTTTCATGAGCCTCAAACCCATGGGCAGGTATTTTACAAAGGGGTACTGCTGCACAGCTGCAGACCTGCTCCTCCATCGTGAAATGATGTGGAAAAGGGAGATAATTCATTCTCATGCACACAGTTATTTTGGGATTCCACCTTTCTCTTCAGCAGTGCCAAGGAGAGAAGGTGAGGTTTGTGAGAGGGGACCAGCGGGCTAAGGCACACTATCATGTACGAGGATGGCAGGATGCTGCTGTCACACAACAAGGAATCTTTGGGCACAGAAAGGTGACATCTCACTGAATACTCAAATGCTATGGGTGCTGCCTTCACCTTTACTGTGATAAGGAAAAAATGCTTGGAAATRGCTCATTATTCCCTTTCTTGTTCCTTTGACATGTTTCCAAGTCACTGGGCCCATCCTTTAGTATGGTTGAGTGAACACAGGAGTTGTCTCCCACTTGAAGGAGACCCTACTTTGGTACAAATCCTGCTCTTAGATATTCACCAAGACCCTCAATGGTTGCAGGCAAATACCCAAATGAGAAATTTATCTTWTGTTCCACATTCAGCCACTTAGTCCCTCCTTAACCAGAAGCAATTCCTTCCCCTGAAATCTCTCAGACTCAGAACAACGTCCAAGCAATCACAGTGAACCAGTGCAGCTCTCCACCCCCACCCACCGAAATGACAGAAAGCATCMCAACAAAGAATCCTCATTGTGACATCTCTCAGCAGAGAGGCAGAGCTATTCCAAACACACCCTGTCGTTTTGCCACCCCAACTGTGCTTGGCCAAAGCTGAGCCAAGCCCTCGGTGACACAGCTGGAGTGCCCAGGGCATGGATGGGTGTGAGAGTGCAGCAAGGAAGACCAAAGCAGCGATGACTTGAAAAGTAAATTCACAGCACTAATGGCAGTGGCTTCCTCAATTCTGTCASCTGGCTGACAAAAGCAGGAGGGTGAGGTCAGAAAGCAGGCAGAGCAGATCCTTTTGCTGTTTTTCCTGTAATATAATGCTGTTTGGTGCTTGATGAGGTYGCTACTTGCTCTCTGAAGAACAGAGACACCAAAGATTGCATCTGTGCTTGAAAAAAAAACTCCTCTGGCATGTTTCCTGGGCACACAACTGCTGCAGACCGAGGGATGTTGCATAACCAGCTCCGGAGGCAGATTTCCTTCTTGTCAGCATCATGTGCAATTATTGTCCTGCTGGTTATTTGTAACAGAAATGTTTATAGACCATCAATACATCGGGCCATTTAGACAATTCATTGCACTTCATCATTTTAAAGGAAGGTGCCATCCTCCATCTCTTCTTTTCCAAGGTAGCAAAGTGCTACTCTAGAAAAACAGTTCAAGGGTTTTCCAGTGTAACCAGATAACTTCCAACTTTATTTAAAATATTTTTTCCCTTGCAGGTGCTTTGTGTTGAACAATTAAAAAAAAAAAATTAAACTGTTTCTGAGGCTTCAAAAGTGCAAAAAAACTTCAAGGTATTTAACCACCTGGAGAACCAGTTAAGGCATATTTGCTTCCAGTCTCAGCCACTGTAATCCCTGTCTGATGTAGTGTACCAGGTCTGTCAGGCTACTGGTCAATGCCAGAGCACTCGTTGCTCTGCTGAGTTCAGCAAAAAACTCTGGAAAAAAAAAGGAGGGAGAGAGAAAAACATTTGGTTGGTTTCATAGACCAGGCACATCTGACCCACGAGCAGCAGCAGAGTCAGCTGGCCAGTCCTGTTAAACAGTGCTGGTGCAGACAGCTCAGCGGTGTCACACGGCTSGGAAGGGTGACAAGCACAGCAGGCAAGGCAACAGAAAAACACATTWGCACACACTGAGCCACCTACTCATGTCCTGACTCTAAAGGACACTGAGACTCCATGTAGGTGGGCGAAAGTTTGTGTGTTCACATCACAGGCCCCCTTTCAAGCTTCTGAACAGGTCAAATTTCAGTGTTCCTGAGCAACACCCAGAAGCACACACAGCTGTGRTCCCTTTCCTTCATCCATCCTCAAACCTTGGAGACATCAGGATTTCTCCACCAAACAGATTTAACCATTTGTGTAGCTTGCCAGGCTATACAGTTCTGATTTAGATTGCTTCTAGTTGAGCATGTCAGGCAGMTCTCAMATTCCTCCTATCCTGCCACCAACTYCAGGCATCCTGCTCCTCCTCTGGCACAGGAGGTGGCTCTTGCAGCACACCCGACCCTGCTGTGAGGGGTTGGCAGGCTGAAAGTCCTGCTGTGTGCTGGCAATCCCCTGTGCAGGTGACCACGAGCTGTGGGAAATTCTCACACCTATTCTTTTGCAGCTGCCTTTCCAAGACATTCCTGCATGTCCCGCCTCCCACTGGCATGGGCTTGTTCCAGCCCCTCACTCTCCAGCCTCAGCCATGTTGTTAAATACCTTTTCACAAACTGGTCATTGTCAGCTCTCCTTTTTGACACACAAAGATGGAAGCTGGAGGTAGAAAATTTCTGCTTGGCTGTGCAAGGAGCTCTTGAGAAGCAGAGTGCACAACACTTCCTTTCTAATACTTGCCAATGCAGAAGCAGAGAATACATTCCTTCTGATTTTCCTGCTTTTGTTTACAAAATCTGTGCCCTCCATGGGGAATAGGAGGAGTTCAAAGCCCCCATCTAAGTGAGCAGAAGATAACCTGATSTCTCACCACAGCATCATGTGAAAGGAGAGGGACATCACATCCACTCCTGCAGCTTGTCCTTGCTGGGGGAGATCAGAGGCTGGAAGACAACCTGTTACAMAGCCTCGTGATCTGAATCACAGTGCTGCTCTGAATCACAGTGAGGAGCTGGGACCTGACAGGGACCCTCCAGAAGGCACTTCAGCTCTGCATATGTGACTGGGAYRGCAGTTRCAACTCGCTGCTTTCCAMTAGCTTAGRATTTCCCTGTTTATAGGATCATGAYAGCTAAAAGCTGCTGCTCTTTCGTGCTCTTCTTATGCCCTATAAATTGCACAAAAGAATCAAGGATGTGGTCTTTTCAATTAATTTTTCATTCTCACTCTCTGTGCCTCTGCRTATATTATGCTGATTATCAGTAAGTTCCAGCTCTGAAATGCCTCCACTGTCCTGAGCAGTGACACCAGCACCAAGCCCGCTTGAGTATTTACTTRTGTCCAGCACAGATCCACTCCCTAGAGAGTATTTAGTACCCCAGTAATCATCCCCCTACACTGGGACCAGCCACACAGAGCACGCTGAATTCAGTCTTGGCTGATGCAAGGCTGTGCTCAGGCTGCCCTCCCACACATTTTCCTCCATGACTCACTCCTCTGCCTTATTAGCAGCATCCACTGCTCCTGTGTGACAGTCTTTTATCAGCCTTTTGAGGACAGAATCGAAAATATTACACATGAACTGCTGCTGCAAGCAGAGATTTGCTCAGAGGACAGCCAACAACCAGTTACTTTATTCAAAGGTGACTTGGAAAGTCTTTTGATTTTCAGAACTGCCTCATTAGTGTGGGGATTTTCACAGCCTTCCAACAATTCAGTCAGGCACATTGTGCTTATTTTCCTTTGCAAGTTTGCCAACAGGTCATCTCTTCACCCACAGTGGTTCACAAAACATTGTGTTTTTTGAAAAATGACACTGCAAAAAGCCACGAGGGATGGCAGGTCACAGGCTGGACTGCACCCACCTTGTGGCTTTTGTGTATTCAGCACTGCCTGCACCACAGGACAATATAACATTTTTAACAAAAAAAACCTGTCAAATAAAAAGAGAGTTGCAGCAGTTCTAGGAATTGCTACTAGCAAATATTGGGCATGTGCCCAGCAAGGACTCAAATTCAAGCACTGCTCAGCTTCTCTGTTAGACAGAGAAGCCAGCTTCACCRTTTTCAAGACAAAATGACCTGGAAGTTTGACAAAAAGTAAAACACAAGGCTAAGGGCCAAAAAGATGTTTTTAAACAAAGTGAACCAGCTCAGAAAAGCTCAGTGCCCTAAAGGAAAAGCCAGAAAAACCCAAAATCCTAATGCTTCTTGTGTTACCATGTAGTGAGTTGGCTGGTGTCCTGCACTTGACATGCTCATCCCTTAGCTCTTAGACATTTGAGGATGCCAAGACAACCTTTTAATGGGAACACTCATCAATATATCACCATCAAGTATCTCTGCCAATATTCYCTGGCAGAGATTTCCAACATATTCCCTGCTTTGATCTTTAGGTATGGTGCTTGCTTGCACTGAGGGTTAGGACTGAAGCAAGTACAGGCACATAACCATGACATATGAAACAAAAAAGACAAAGGGAAAAAACTTACCTTTATTCTTTTTGGCCAGTGCATCAGCCTTTTCCCAAATTTCATACGCATGGAGGATATAGGAGGTGATGTTGACATAGGAGGAGGTGACACTGGAGATATGGCAGGAGACAGTGACAGTAGAGCCAGCGCTGTTGCCAATGCCGTTGTGGCCWATGCTGTTGATATCATTTGATCCCGGCTGAGAACTCACAGATCCAGCAGGAGAGGGKATTGGAGAAAGGGGAGAAGGCAAGCCTGTGCTTCTGCAGCAGAAAAGAAACACCATCATGAACATTCAGCTTCAGAGCTGAACATACTTCCACAAGGCCACCTCATGCCAGGAGCCATCCTGTGTCACCCAGGCCTGCAGCATGGAGCAGACTGCTGAAAAGTGAGATGTGCTCAGCTACAGCACAAGCAATTGTCCTTCAAGGGCAAGGCCAAGGCTTAGGAAGTGATTTAGAAGGACTCTGCTCAGCAAGAGAAAATGTGGGATCAGACATCAGAAAGGGCCACCCTTCCATAGTCTAAACCTACTTGTGAAAGTCTTCACAAGATTATCCAAGTTTTYCCTAATGTCTTCCAATTCAGGCACACTGAAACTCCCCTCCTATGGAGGCTGGAGCTTCTGGCAGCTACTCAGAGCAGCCAGGTCGGCCTACACACACTTATTTATAGACCCAGGGCAGCTAAACGTGGTCAGCCGGCCGCCTTCCAGACACAGCCTGGCTCATCACACCCCCACCACTTCAGCCAACCTAATTTTAGTTACTGGTATGACAGGGCTTCCACACTGCTCTCAAGAGACCATTTACTTCCCAATGAACTATCCTGTGCAAGGTGGAAGACATGCAGTGGAATCAGTACTGCTGTCAAAGCCCAAACAACCTCCCCTCAGCCACTGAATTTGAAAGACAGCCTGGGAGCTGCCTGCCACATAAAATGACCACAGCACACAGAAAAGCTCTTATTGTCTTTAAARTACAGACACATGACAACAAATTTTTAAATCTTACCTTGCAACACCTGGAGAAGGTGCTTGTGTTACTCTGAAATTACTCTGCAGCAAGGAATAAAAGCCTGGTTAGTTTTGGGCTGTTCAGCTGACATCAGGTGACCACAGCCACCCAGCTGGCAGCTTACTGATACCTCTCCCTACCTTGAAGTGGTCATTCAGGAGTCTGGAATACCTCATTGCAGTGTCTTTTTTGTARCCAAACATTGCCATGTGCAGAATGGACTGGCAGCGCATGCTGTGAACAGAAACACACTCGAGTGTCAGTGTTTGTGCTCAGCCCTCACCAATCTTCCAGGGTGGAGGAAGGCACACCTCAACTCTACTGAAAAGTCAAGAAAGCTCAAAATTTCACCTCCTTCTGATCCCCATTAAAAAAAGACACTGTGAAAGAAAATCACAAGGGGAAGAAAAAAAGAAAGAGATGAKGAAGGGCCTTATCTGGTCTTTCATACAAACAGGTGCCCAGGCTCTCAGAGGTGCCAAAGGCTGAGTAAGCTCCCATCCAGAAGTGCCTCATCCATGTTCAGCTACAGCTTCAGTTACACAGCTCAAACATGGGCAGCCAAATCACATTCTTTCACCTTAGGTGAAAGCCCTTATGTGCTCTCAAATTACCAGCAGATCAAATTTTAAAGCCTGTGCCTTCCACATGTGGTCCCTTGTGATCTCCTAGCTCACTTTAGAGATGTTCATTCTGGTTTTTATACAAGGAAAAAAAACCACAATATAACTCCAACTCCCATTAAACTAATTCCTTCACCCCTGGAARCAATGGATCTTTCCCTCTGTCAGGTTTCCAAGCAGAAAGGGAAGGAACAGGAACACAGTTACTCACCGTAACACTGCAAAGATTTTTCCATGTGAAGAGACAGAGGAGTCTGCAAATGGTTTCAATGTCATAATGAATCTAAGGAAACAAAATWAACAGGACCTTGTCAGCCACCAGAGTGCTCTCAAGTCCCACAGTTTTTGAAAAAACAGTGCACGCCATTATCTCAAGAAAGGGTCAGCATGTCAGGAAACCTGCCCCRAGTTCTTAGTCCTGTATAAGACCTTGTGCAGAGAACTGTGTGTCAAAATGCCCTCCCCTCCAAACAGGCTGCCAAAGTGCCATCCCTCTGAATGCCACTTACTTGATGAGAACTATGGTGTCACTCAATATGCTGTAAGCTGACTTTGGTTCCAGCACATCTGATTCCAAGGCAATCCCATACTCGATGAATAAAAGGGCAGCCTCCAGGTACTGAARGGCCTTTCCAGTCTTGTCAGTCTATTGGGAAGAAAATTCTCATTTTTCAAATAAGACCAAACACACTTCTCTCAAGTGTACTTGAGTTCTCTTTTCTTCCTATYTGGCAAGATTTAAAGAAAGAAAATWATTCCAGTCTRGCCTCTGGGTGACACTTAAAGGGTTCTCAGCAGAACCCCATAATGTGATCCCAGTCATCAGCTTTGTGCACTCCATTTTTATCTCTTCTTCTTGCTCAATGATTTCCTCAAGTAATTTATTATCTTCACTTTTTTAGGATATTATTGTCTGGTCTTGGAGGCTTGCCTTCTCCAGGTCCGAGGGGGCTTTCCCACTGCAGTATTCCTTCTCCTTCATTTTCACAGGTAAATGTAGCAAATGGACATTATCTGACTGAGCCATAATTAGCAAGGCAATGTGTTCACTCATGCACGCTGTTAAACTGCACAGAGCAGAGAAAATCAGATCTGCCAAGGCCACTTCCAARTCTTGGCCACCAGCAACACAATAACCATCAGGATCCTGGTTTTTCTGTCCTTTTTAACTGTCTTGAAACTATACCATCTGTTTTCCAAGGACTCTTTTATAGCTCTGCAAAACTAACCCCAAGCAACGCCAGTTCTAAAACCTGTTTTCTGGATGTGTTTACATCAAAGAGAAATGTCTGAGCATCTGGCAACTAAAGACAGCCCCTCAACACATGGCCTGAACATACTCTCAAGTGTGGAAGTCCCTTATTCCCATGGACCCAGGTGCCAGGGCTGAGTGCAAGAGGTGGCCAACATTTCTAGCACAAGGTCAAGGCTTACCATTGCATCAGCTTTGTGCTTCAGCCTCTGGGCCTGTTCGATGTAATATTCCTTTGAATGCTGCCTGAATTGGGGACAGAGAGGAAAAACAGATGAAAAAGGGCAGGATAATTACMAGTTTTACTTTCATGTCTAGAGGATGCTATGAGCTGATTGATTTCTTAAAAAACATATGCTGGAATAATTTTGAAACTTACATTTAGAAATAAAAAACCACCAGAAGGTGGGCTTCTATGGGAGCAAGTTAATTTTCTCATTCTCTTGGAAACATAGCAGTTATGACATGTATCATTCCTCAAGTGTAGTCCCATAAATACATTTTGATTGTAACATACATAAATTTGGCAGCATCACACAGTCATCTGAGACCAAAAGAATTTGCACTCATGTTGCCTGCTTACAAGAGATGGTACCTAATTTCCAGAGTAGATTCCCTCAAACCAAGAACTGTTGTAAAACTCTGCCTTCTTGTAAACCTTTACTTTTTGGCAGGTGGGCTAAGTCATGAGAAAGCAGTACAAGGCAGGTCTCACATGTCTTTCCTTCTTTCCCTCCTCCCAAAGAAGTGCTCATGAAAAAGCAGAAGTCAGGGTGGTTTCATGGCCAGCCTTGCCTCATGTCTTCAGAAAATACAGATGAGGGGTGTCAAATAAGAGCTTACTTTTCAAACTTGAGGAGAGGTCTYCTTGGCTTAGAGGTACCATTTGGCAAAGAAGGCACTGGGAATGGCTTTGTGACATCACCTGCAGATCCCTGAAAAAGCAGAGAGATACAGCTGGCTAGAGAGATAGGCCTAAACCAATTCCAAAGCCAAAGTTACCTAAATTTCAAGTGAAAATGTTTATTTATCCCAAGCACAGTCTATTTTCCAGGCTCTCTTCCCCAGCAACTGCTCCTTGCTTCTCATCTGACTGTTTGTAATGCTTAACACCATTCAAACTTTTGCCAAGCACRGAGAAATTCAGCAGCAGGTTTCCTTGCACGATGACTAAGAGAGCAGTGAGGCTGCAAGCAGCACATTTTTCATGTCCTCTAGCCAAGGCAGAATGGGTAAGGTCCATTCACACTTATTTCCACCTTAACCACACAACAACTGCTGATTCTCCATTACTAACTAAATTGTCAGGAAAAAGCATGCAGTTAGGAGCCAGCTAACAGAGTGTGCACAGTCTGGCCAAACACACAGAGGAACATCCCAGACCACACACCCAGAGCCACCAGCAAACAGCCAYGTAATCAAATTTTGTAACCCACAAATGCAAAGAACCAGCTGCAAGGAYCATCAACTACTTTGTAAACAAGTTATAAAAGCTTATACTTGGGTTGTAGTCAATACCACAGGTTACTTGTTATCTTATTTTTAGGCAACCCCCTCTTTCCTTTTATAAGCACACTCATTTTTACAGCAATACACTGGTATTGTACTTGCAGTTGCCTACTGAAATGGTGATCAGCATAAACATGACTCTCACACCTTTGGTGTTTACAGAGAACGTTTCCAAAGAGAATCACACAGCCCCCAAGGGTTGGAGGAAACATCCCACCAGTTATCCTAGATACCTACTTTGATGCCCTTTGACAGTTCCGTTTGATTTCCCTCCACTTTCCTGTGCTTRGCAAACAAAGGATGCTGGTGGTTGCYCTTGCTCCTGGCAGGRTTATCCATGGCAGGAAGCTCRTCAGGCTCAGTTCTGGGTCTCTTTTGGGTCATCTTGGTTGACTTTGGTGCAGGCTGTCCAGTAGACATGGCTGGCAGTGGTGGGAGCACATCTTTCCTCTGGGTTTCAAATGAAGCTTTTGATCCTCTRGAGATGGGAAGCAAATTCATGAATATGGTGCACACATAATGTAGGGATTTTTTACAAACTTAGTTACATCATGTACCGATTCTGTTTAAATTCCTCTGGAAGAGWGAGATGACTTGTTAATACAACGAATTCAACAAAAGTGAAATGAAACTTCAGAGGCTCCATTGCYCTTTAGACAGCAAACCTTCACCTACCATCAACATACAAGCAAGCTGCTTTTCATGTAGGAACARGTCCTTGAAGCAAACATTTGTAACCAGAACATCAGGACATTGCAAAAAAAAGCATGCCTCAATACAGACCCTTTTCATTGAATGAAGGGGGTAATTACAGTGACTAAAATCCCTGGGAAAAATCACCCAACAAGGCAAATGAACTGCAGCACTGCCTGCCTCTCCCCCTTTTGGCAGATGGTATTTTCTGTGGTCCGAGACTTGATCCTGTGTGTGCTTTGACAGAATTAAACTGAGTTCTTTCTTTCCTTAAGACTTGACAGCTCAACTACACAACACTTASAAAGTTGAAAGAGACTTAAAATGCCTTGCTTTTAAATGACAGAGATTATTATATTTAATAATACAGTGGCATATTACATTTCTGATCATCTGAAGTTAGGATGACCAGGGAACCCTGGCAGCTTCAAGTAGCATGAAATAGTTCTAAACCTTGTTTCACCACTGCTCATTTACAAATTTTTATTCTGTTTCCAACAAAACACTGAGCAGGGAATTCTAGCTCATGGACTGCAACATCAGAGGAGGAGGAAATTAWGTTTAACCCAATGAGAAGACTGAGRTGTGATGGTGCACATCCTGTCTGATTCTGTTGTGCATGAGACAGTCCTTTCCCCTCTTTCACCATCCACTTTTCCCATGGATTGGTCCCTACTCACTGMACATGTGCTCCTAGGATTCTCTACTTTGGCACAGCTGATGCTCCACAGAACCATCCCCTGTCCTGCCTCAGTGCACTCTCTCCCCCAAAAATGCAGTCTATCCTTCCAAAAAAACAGAACATAACTAAAACRGGGCTCATTTTCACTGAGAAAAAGGGAGGAATAAACCCCAGAATTAAAGCTCTTCCATTACTACCACAATTCAAATATCCCTTCACCCAACTAAACGTTAGTCCAATGCCTCAGTGCTTACAGAGCACATCAGTGTTTCCTCTTCAGAAAAGCAGTTTACTCCTATTGTCAGGACTCAAACCTCCTCACTACATACCAGCCCAAGCCAACACCTCCAATTGAAGCCACAAGCAAGCAGGAATTGAATGCAGTAGCCCATGACTGAGGCATGAGTCTCCCCTCTCGGGAACACTGTCCAGTTGGAAACACACTCTTGGAAGTGCTCACTCTAGCAAAGGCCCAGCCAGAATGYTGGCAGTGCTCTGGTATGCAAATTACAGGGGAAGCTCCAGCAGATCTGCCAGAAGCACTGMAAATGCTATGCTGGGATAAAGGAGGAATTCCTGGCCACAAAGGCCACCTGGAATTCCAGACAGTCAGGACTCAGAAGGCGCGTTGGTTGTGTGTCCATTGGGTCACTCAGAAAAACAAGATTAAGACAACAGGATGATTTTAGCAGAGAAGACTCCCCACCCTCACCTAAAAAGCTATTTTCTGAACTGGTTGTTTCCAGGATGTAAAGGCAAATCTGCTGTAAATTAGGTTTCAGAAGGCACATTACATTAGAAGYAGACTCATGAGGACAGGAGATAGCTGTGATCAAGGAACTGTGTTTAAGAAAGATTGGGTTTATACATCCTTCCATATAAATTCCACCACTGTATACTCACTTCAATTTATTGGAGTCTTTGTTAGCTGAAGACTGCAATGGTTTTGTTTCTTTTTCCGATTTCATTTTCTTCCTATCAGTCTCCTCCTTCTCTTCCCTCTAATAGGAAGCAAAAAAAAAGGAAAAATAAAATCCCTTAGGTTTTTAAGTTCACATAAAATACAAACCAATACAGTTAAGTTTGATTGAATCTGGTTTAAAAAAGCAGAAAAAATACCAATACCCTATTGGAACCMACAAATCACAAACCCACAGCACAGAAGATACAGACTTCAAGTTCATTGACAAGTAACCTAAAATGACACTTTATCTAATTTTGCCTGGAAAGATTAATTACTTTGTAGGAATGGAATTGCTGAACCTATTGCTGCTAACAGTAACCAAAAGCAAGGCACTTGCATGCGAGTTAGATCACATAGACATTCCAGATGTGCAGGGGTTTGGTTTTTATCACCAAAATGCTGATAGAGGTGAGATTTTTAAGCATTGGCAATCTGGGGACCCCAGGGCTGGATGCAGCACTCCAGGTGGGGTCTCACCAGAGCAGAGCAGAGGGGCAGAACCCCCTCCCTCAGCCTCCTGACCACACCTCTTTGGATGCAGCCCAGGACATGTTTGCCTTTCTGGGCTGCAAGCACACCCTGCAGGGTCATGTCCAGCCTCTCATCCAYCAGAACCTGCAGATCCTTCTCCAYCAGCAKGYTCTCTGTGAGCTCTTCTCCCTAGTCCTTACTCATGTCCAGGACACATCCAGCTTTATRTCACTCACTGGGCTGTGCTGTGACACAGAGCCTACCTCTGCCAGGCTGCTCAGGACAAGGCTCCAGCACTGAGATCACATCCTTATCCTGTGTTTCAGGTTCCACACTGCCACAAAAGATGTCTGTACCTGACCCAGCTGGCTGCCATGAGGCCTGAGCTCCAAGGGTATTGGTGCACTGACAGAACTGACAGTGAAGCTCTGAGGGGGCATTCCCTACAGCCAGGCACTAGGATTGCAAGGGAAGACGCCTAACATCAAATTGCTCCTCTCCTGAGCCTCTTAGATGACAGGAGAAGGGACAGATTGACTGCCACATTCCCTTTCTCCCACTGCTTTGCAAGAGCAGGAACTTCTGAGTCTCTCAACTTTCCTCACCATTTCCCCGCTCTTCTCAGTTCACCCCCACAATTACAGGAAATTCATAAAATGGCAAAACTAACTGAAACCCAAAGCAAAGTTATTCACCCACATGTGCCRAGCCACCTGCTCTGTGAGGAGGATCAAAAAGGGAATCAGGGACTGAAATATCCAGAGGGAATACCCATTCACCACAAGGCCTGCAGCCAGCTCTTCATGCAGCTGACCCAGCTGACTGAAGGTATATTCCTGATCCCCTTTGGGAGTCAGCTTTCCAAAAAACACTTGTGAGCAGCAATCACCTCAGTTAAATAAAGGGCTGTCTTGTAATTCAAGGGAAAGTGACTGTTACAACTGGTTTTGCTGTCTGAGAAAACTAGGATTTCAAGAAAAGAGAGTAAAAAAAAATTTAAAACACCAAAGCATGTTAGACAGCTTTTCATTTGCTCAGGAGGGGATTTGTGACCAACAAGAAACATCTGCAGACAGTTCTGATTCACATTTCCCTCAGAAGTTTGATAATACCTTTGTAGAAGGATAATGGCTCTACTCCCAACCTATGAAGTCAGTTTTCAAACACCACCTTGGTCCTTGTACARACCCACCTCCCGCTCCACCTCTCACCTTCTTCTTTCTTAGGGACTCCTCAGGAGTGTCCGTGGCTTTCCTCTTCAAGTCYTSCYTCCTCGCACCAGGGAGGTCCTTGGTCTCTGCTTTCCTCTGGCATCCCTCTTTCCTGGGGGGCTGAGGGACCTTTTCCAGGTGGCAGAGATCTATTTTCACCACGAGGCGCTCACGGGCYGGGGGRTCCCTCACTGGCGAGAGCAGCTTCTCCCTGAGGGGCAAGGGCAGCTTTTCCTTGTGCAAATCCTGAGGCCTCTGGCTGCTGGTCCTGATGGGAGCTGTGCCCTGGCCCTGAGGAAGGGGACTGAAAGTATCACATGCTGGGGCATCTTCCATGAGCTTGGGGTCCAAGAAGGGCTTGGTGTTGACCTGGTGGGAGCCCTTGTGCCTTTTTTTCTCAGAGGGCTCTWCAAGTCCTGGCTTTGGGTCTTTTCTGTTAGTGGATTTTGTCTTCACTGTTTTTTTGACTTTCGGCTTGTCTCTGGAAGACTGGTCTCTGACCTCCAAAGGAGCAGGGTCACTCTCCACCTTCAGACCCCTCTTGGGCCCCTCGTGGACCAGGGGCTTGCTGGGTCCTTTGCTCCCCACGGTGTGCCGGGGTGAGGGCTCCTCAGCGTGTGCTGGAGGCTTCTGGCAGCCGCGTTTGGTCGGCAGAGGAGCCTCCTGAGGAGCCCTGGCTGCTTGGCTCTTGTGAGACGGCTCCCTCAGCCCACTGTGCTGCTGGCAGGAATTGCTGMTGGTGCCCCACTCCTGCTTCTTGCCCTCCTCACRTCCATCCCCACRGGCAGTTTCACTGAGGCTCTCTGCTGGCACTGCTGGTGGGGTCACCTTGGTCAGCCAGTTGTCCAGCTGCCACTTATTAGAGGATGGTGGCTCGGGCTGCAGACAAAAAGAGAAAGGAAAGATTCAAACCTGATGCCTTCATGGGCTGCTTCCATCCTAGCACAGCTCACCAGAGCCCAGAGRTCTCAAAGTGTGAGCTTTTGCATATGAAGAACTCACTATAAACAAACAAGCCATGCATCCTAACTTGCTCCAGAGCATCATGGATGAACAGTTTGCTGAATAAAAAAAAAAGGATAAAAAGGTCAAAGGCAAGTAGCTAGGACTTCATTAACATTTTCAGGACAAACCACGCAGAATTTGGTAAAAGAGGAAAAGGAGGACAACTGCTTCCTTCAAAGACACCATATTGGAGTGGGCAAGGTCTGTAACTGAACTGCTGGAGGCTAAAGAGCATCAGAGTGACATGGAAAGCCTTTCTCATTTGAGGCTGTCTCAAAGTTTGTTTTTGGCTCATAAGATTCTCCCTGTTGTGCACTTCTAAGGTGAAAAGAAATGATGCTAGAGTGAAGCAGAGGAGGAAAAATGAACTACAAGGGCTTTGTAACAGTACCTCAAAATTGCCAGTGGATTATTTTACATCAGCTGTGGTCTGCAGATATAGTCATGCACTTCCCCCAAGCCTGAGAATGTTTAGCAAGCTGGAGGAGCTGTTTGAAAGCATGGGACATGAGAACTTCTGCAGCACATTTTTTTTTAAATGCATGGTTTCACAATTATGAAAGTTTAAGGCACCAAGTTCTGTTCGTCTGCTTTCCCCAATACAAGCCTCAGAAATGCCAGTGCAGCAGTATCCAAGCCCAATTCAACAGCAGCAAGACTAAGCATATTCCAGCCCTTCCTGCAGGTCTGATTCCTTCAGCTGAGACCCGGGACAAGCTCAATCTGTCACTCGGGCACAGGAGCTGCAGGGAGGCAGCAGCTCCTCTTAAATTATCAGGAAACTGGTCTCACCCTGACTCTGCACATTGCCTTGGCACCCAGAAATCCCGTGCAGGCAGAGGTGGGCCCCAAACAGCCCAGCCMAGCCGTGCTCCCCATCTGTGCCTTGCTCGTGTCTCCCCAGTGAAGGCACCAATTCCTGGAGGGCCAGACAGCTGTGCCAAAGGACACAGGGAACACTTCCAGGCTRGCATCTGAAAGTCTAATTGTGTTGTTACTAAGGGCAACTAAGGTTGACAAACTCTAGGAGGGAAGCAAAGGGCAAGAAGAGTCGAGTGATGCAGCAAAGATGTCAAGGGGATGCCTGAACCATGACAGCGTTTCAGGTCTCCTGCCCTCTGCACTGAGACAGCAGAGAGGAAGGCAAGGGGCTGTGTAAGCAGCCTCTGCCTTTTATTTGCATTCACCTCAGGTGCTGGGGCTCTTGGAGGGTCGTTTGCTTCACTGTCGCTCGAGTGGCTCTCTGTCTCCGAGTCTGAGGAGCTGTCTGAGTCACTGGTGCTCCCTGACTCCGAGCTGCTGGAATGTGCTGATGCCACACTCTTGGGCTGGGACTGTAAGGAACTGCAAGGCCACCAGGAGATAAAATTAGAAAGCAGCAGGGGTGAAGGTTACTTACTTATTATATTGACATGGCAGTATTCAAAAATAAAACTGAACCCCCATGCATTAGCACTGAGATGAGAGTGAAGAGGSCTGGAAGAATACATTGGCATACTCAAAAAAATAAAGCACAGAACATAAAATTGCTGGAAATAATATAATYTTCAACTCCAACCCAGTCAAATATGTAAGCAGGATGCCACTGCTAGAATGTGAAGCTGCATTTTGCTGCCAAAATTTAAAAAGCACCAAAACTAACCAGTGCTTTTCTGAAAAACCCAGCCCTCAAAATGAAAAATTTCCAATAAAGGTGAACAYGACAGGAACATATATTTCAGGGTGGTGCCTGATGTTTCTGTTTTCCCCCTTAAATTTTCACTCCATCTGTATTACTTGCTCATGCTGCTGTAACCACTTCATTAACAGTCACTTGCAGCAGCATTTCTTGCAACACCCTCCTCTAACCAAAAGTGTTTCCCTCCACACTGACAGTGGAATGGATGGAATCGACAGAGAGCTGTCACTTTTATGCAGTGTTTTTGTTTTGAAATGGGCTTACAAAMTCCAAATGTAGATATTTTCATTTTTTTTGTTAACATTGAAAATGATTTCTCACATAAATATCAACACATTTGTATAATGTGGAGGCAAGCTCCTTGCTGACCCAAGACTGATATCATGAGAACATTCCTATTTTAAGAGTTTGTAGAAACACATAATATGCCAAGCACTGGTGTGCTTCTCAGCAAACCTAACTCTGTAGACCACTGTCTTGTGCTTGAAGAATATACACATCCACCTAAAAAACGCAGGCCAGTGCTCTCCTGTAGGAAAAATKGTGAGCTTTTCCACCTTTCTTTCTCAAATACTGGCATGTGGCTGTTCAGTCTACTATTACTTCTGACTAACAATACATGGCAGGAACTGCTTACAATCAGCTTCTTTATCAAAAGGAGCTGAAACAGTCTCAATGAGTCTTCCTAACCCTTTCCTGTTCTTAACCCACTTGGCTGTTTTGGGCTTCCTCCGGAGCTAAAACTGGACTCACATCTCACCCAACACCACTACAGCTGAAAGTTCCATTAGCTGCAGTGCGATCTACAGACACACTGGTGGAGGGGAGGAGGAGAAAAGAAGGGAGCAGTTGAGGAAGTACAATTCTGGTTCRTAGCAAAATCCAGCATGCCTGGATTATTAATTTGTAATTGGAGCTTTCCAGAAAACCCCACACAACTAAAGCTGACTTTCAACTGTAGCCAGAAACCAAAGTCTGTAGCAACAGGAGAAACCAGCAACCCTTACCCTTCTACCCCACACACAAAAAACAGTTTTGTTTTTCTCCTTATGTGGCCTAGCTAGTAGTTTGGGAACAAACCTGTACCTTGGAGGAGCAAGTGAAGAAGGTGACTTTTCAACAACCTGTTTTGTTCACAAAAACAAAGAGGAGAGGGGGAGGAAARGTTAGCTCAGAACTCAGAACAATGCAACAAGTGGTGATGTTTAAAGGGAAGTCTGTGTGCCTAGAGTATAAAACAGCTAAAACCGACTTGGTCGTCACCACTCTCTTCACTATCACTGAGCTGCAGGTCGTCCTGGAGCATTCTGAAAGACAACCAGAAGATAAATATCAGCCAAGGCAGACACATTTTGAAGCAGTAGGCACAGAAAAAGATTCGGTTTGTGCTTGCCAAAACAAACCAACCTCCCCCATCCTTATTGAACATTTGGTATGGTCAATCTACTAAACCCTGTCATTATCTGAAATGAATGGTTAAAATGCTTTGCTTTTTTTCACTCTGCTTTCCAACTGACCTCGGGATATTTTGCAATGGAGGTCTGTAGCAATGGCTGCCATTTACAGACRACAAAGACCAAGTTCTTTGAGGGGAATGCTCCTCAGAAAGGGAACCCAGCACAGCAGCACAGGAATGGAAGGACTCTGATCTGGTACAGCAAGAGACTTTACCAGCCTGTGTTTGCTCCTGATGCTTTCTGTCCCTTGGGGAGCCCCCGGAGCTGGGCATGTTCACACGCTCTGCTCTCAAGGGCTGCCAATATTTCTTCTGTCACAGAGGTTCTCATTTTGCTGCTTAAGTCTCCTTTCATACATGTGTAAGTCAATGCCAAGGGCAACCCCATCACCCATCTCTTCTCTACACAATGAACCCAATGCTCCTGCACATCTCAGCAGTAATGTTGAGCAGCTCAGGGACTCAGAGCAGTTTACAAGTGGGAAGGCACGAGCTCTGTTTCACTGTTGCTAGAGAAGAGAGCAGGCTGCCCACAAATACTTCCAAAAGCATCATTTAGTCCTCTGCCTGCAGGTGGTAACTATTGGTTGCAATTTCAATACATTATTGAGGCTCTTAAAAGGCTGGAAGGGAAAGATATGTGGGGAAGGACCTAAAGCTTTCCCAGATTGTCATCCCCCTCCTTGGCAATCTTGCAGGCATCCCAAAGAAGTTGGAAAATAGGCAGGCAAAACTTTGCCATTCACAAGTGTAGTTATTCAAATCTTGAAACTAGCTGGTGATTGACTCCTCAACTCAGAAAATGATACAAGTGTCCTTCCAAAAATGGGATCAAAASCTTGGGAACTGAGAGAGGGATTTTAAACTATCAGGTCAAAACTCTGCTTATTTCAACTTCATTTCAAGCCAAGGGCTTTCTTTGAGAAATTTTKCTTCTGTCCAAATATGACAAACAAGCCTCTGACCCCTCATGACAATACATTTTATAGCAAATTATCCCCAGTGAACCACATCACGCTGGAAAAAGCGGGAGAAAGTCAGAAAAAGTCAGWGCTTTCTTTGTTCAGGCATTTTGACTGCCATTCCCCTGCGATCTAYCCTCCACTGCCTCATTTCCTCACACACCTTCTTGGTGGAAATCACCTCTTGCCTCTTCTTTTAGAGTAAACACTGAAGGGAAGTGCTGTGAGACACCACCTTGGAAAAGTAAAGCCCCAAATTTCCTACTATAGGCAAACAGCCCACAGCAATCCTGCACCAGCCAGCTCTGCATGTGGGCCAGAGCCCAAGCTCACTGCCAGACAGATGAGGCACAGAAAAGAAAAAAGAACAGCAACAATACAGGTACTCTCCACACTTCTGGGCAGTTTGGCCAAGCACCTACTGGGATCTCAATGAATTCTTTTTATTTTCTTTTACAACTCCTTAGAGGAAGAAGTCCTTCAAAGGTGGTAGTGAAGAAATTTCCAGGGATGCCAAATCATGCTGAAACGTTTTTAGTTTTGGGGTTTCTTTGTTTGTTTGTTTGGCTATGTTTTGTTTTCTTTTTGTGGATTTTGTGGAACTGTGGACTAAAGACTTATTTCCTTTAGAGGTAAGAGGATAATCATAGAATCATAGAAWGGTTTGAGCTGGAAGAGACCTTAGAGATCAAGTACTTTCAAAGCCCTACTGTGGACACAGACATGCAAAGAAACCACCTATATCTTCTTAAATCTGATTTAACAGTTTGTAATAAAAAGTTCTATTTTTTCCACATGAGCTGTTGGTAAATTAAATGCATCAGCATAAAAGAACACCACAACTACTTATGCTCAATTTGGGATCAGGAAGAACACTAAAACTTCAAGTCATACTTCTGAAAGRGTAGACAAAGTCAGTTTCCCCAAAACAAAGTTTCAACAAATTGTTAAACTGCCTAGTTAGAGAAAATAAATCTACCTTACTAATTTTAATGCTCCAATTAGCCCAGGAATTAATAGATGCCAAGGTTTTATTTGCAGGACCTGTTCATTTGCAGCTTATATACACACCATTAATCTCCCTAAAGCTAATTAAAAAGAGTTCTTTTAGTGAGAGAAGCAGCACTAAAATTCTTATTACTTGCCAAACAACCTCACTGAAAGCACAGGCTGGCCCCTCTCTGCTAGCCGGGTTAAAGATGCATCACCAAGAATGAGCWGGCATTTCCCCTCTTAAAAGAAGGACTGCTTCAATTCCAGCACTGCCAGGTGCAAACTTCAGGGCTGCATTCAAGAATGAAATCCATCTGGGAAATCCCTGCACGCTCTGAAAAGCTGAATGCTTAATTTGGGCACACAGATGCCCTGGGATTTCATCTTCTAATTAACCAACACAAACGCTGTTTGTTTTCAGCCAGCTACACTTTGCAACACAAGCTACTCCAGGCAGCTGAATTTTCAGACAGTCACGTGCACTTCAAACAGCAAAGAAAGCCAGGCCTGTTGTGCCAAAGAAAACACACACAAAAAAGAGGGGATGCATCGGTTCAAGGGAAAAGATGTAGAGGAAGTCCTCGGGCAAACCTCASTTAAACACAAAGCCAGGCCACCCTGTTCCYCCTGCTCCCACTGCCCTTGCTGGCYRTGGGCACACRCAGCCCTTGCAGATGAACACCAGCTCTGAAGCGCCCGGCAAGGATGCTGAGCAGAGAGGGGATCATGGCTAAGGACAGAGTTCCAAACCCTGCCATATTTATAATTCAGGCCCTTTGGGCTARCAAACGAGTCTTTTCCAATTCGTGTCTGCAGGAAAAGTCTTTCCTCTCTCTGCTGCCTGGAAAACTAACTAAAGTGCTAAAGGGGTTTGTACAAGCAGCTGAAATAACAATGGTGGTCATAGGGTAGCTGGGGAGGAAGGCACAGCCTGGAGCAGTTTAAACTGGTTTTAATAGCGCAATGAAAATTTCCAGAGTTCATTGAGGAGGAGCAAAGTGGGGTGGAAGAAAGTGGAGCACAATAARGAAGACATAAGGAATAGCTGACAGCAGCAAGACACCACCCCATGCTGCCAGTGAGCAAGGGCTCCTCTAAATCCTGCTGGAACAGTAGGAAAAGGGATGTTTAACAGACCCTACAGAGCTTGAGTTAAAATTCTACAATCTCAACCAAGATGGAGACATGCTCTTGTTCTTACTTGTGACTGGTTCAATTTTGTTTTGCTTTTAATTCAGTAATTCATGATAAGGAAAAGGCAGACATGTGGAGTAAGCTTTGTAGTCTGTAGTTCGTGGTCTTCCACAGAACAACATATCTTGAAGTAACGGGATCTTTATGTATCATACGAACTGATTTAAATTGAAATTTAAGGGTTCAGCAAGTGCCTTGAATAGAGTACCCCTGAGCCTTCCAGAYATGGAAAGATTTCTGTTTGTTACTCAGGGCTCAGAACCCAGCAATGCTGCATTTGGCCAGGTTAGCCCTGAAAGACTAGTGTCAGCCCACATAAAATTGCTTTCAAGCAACTTCTGTAATTAATCAGATAGTAGATAACCTCTTTCACCTACAAGGACAGCATCAAGTTATTTTATCTACCCATTTTTTGTGGTTTTTTTTTTTTTTTTTTAATAAAAATAAAATGAAGACACTTTAAAGAAAACTTTTCCTTGGGCAATTGGAGAAAGTTATACCATGTGATTGCTTTAAAATTGCAGCCTTKGTTTTTACAGTTCTTGTAGCTGCATCTTTACTAGCCCTCCCAGGGCTCAAGACAACATCCAGAATCAATCAGATTCAGTTTGTATCCTTTGTAATTTATGTCAGTTGGATGCATTATTGCAGGTTGAAGAGCATGAATGTATGAYGTTAAGCAGCCACAGATTAAAAGAACAAAATTACTTTAATATGGTGCATTAATAGTTGGTTGTTTCCTCCAGTTTTGTTTTGGTCTTAACCCAGCCATCATAATCATGACAAGGTTTAGTGGACTTGGCAATGTCAAGTTAAGGGTTGGGCTTGATGATCTTAAAGGTCTTTTCCAGCCTAAATGACTATGATTCCATCATAAAACAATCATATTTCTGTTGGTGAAAGTTCCCTTCATTGAAGTTTTCTAAGAAAAATCAGACTGATAAAACCTTAACCTCCAGAAACATCAAGTAAAYCAAAATTTAGCTCATTCTAGGCTCTTTTAATAAACTGCACAGTAGAGATGTGAAYAAGGTCTGTTACTTACGAKGTTCTTGGCTGAGAACTAKACAGTGATGTTTCTGAAGGTGYTCCATACTGCTCTGGAAATCAAAAATGAATAGGTTGGTTTATTTGCCACCTTTGAGCTAATTTTACTCTGTGGTCTCKGAGCACCAGGTTAGACTCATCACTTTCTTCCAGGACATAATTGTCATTCAGATTATTTATCATCCAAAATGGGATTTCCTAGTGAAATACTATTTGTCCTCTGATGAACTACTGCCTTAATGTCTAGGTAATGAATGTATCCAATCTCTTAAGCTATTTCTAAATTCATCACTGTTCAACAAAGCAGAGGAAACCATGGCTCTTAATCAATAAAAACATTTGACATATCATGCATAACAGACAACACACAAAACTATCTGTCAATACACATATAACTGCGTGTTTTCTTTGGCTATCTACTTACTCTGWTCCTTTGCTACAGATCCTTCAGGCTGCAATTCCTAGAAAAAAAAGGATGAAGTGAAAATTGAGAATAAAATAAATGAGCTTTCTCCTAAGAAGCATACTGATGATTTATTTTCCATGTGTTACTTTACTGTAATAAACACTTCAACTAGCTTGTCAAAGTGTCCAGTCGTCTAAGCTGGCCTGACATAGCTTCACGTGGATAGAAATGATAATGTGCTACTATCACTAAAAACATATTGCTAGCACATTTGGGGTATGTGCATTCTTGAGGAAATATTTTTAAAATTTGTAAGAGCTGCCAAATACTCCTGTTTAACACAGTCAGCAAATATTTCTGTTGACAAAAAGATAAAATATACATTGTGCTTCAGGAGAGATACTTAAAATGTCGCAGAAAAGTAGTGACATTTGAGGACCACAATTACAGCAAATAGATTAAGCTGCTGAAACATTTTTTATTCATCCACTTTGTGCTTTAATTTATATTACTGCTTCTGAAGGTAATACCTCCTAACAACCTTTATTTATAGAAGGGGCAAAAAAATCAGATAGAAACATCTGCAAAAGCCAGAAAGCTCTCTTCTATTTAATCAAAAGTCCTGGCAGAAAGAGGGTGTTTTACCTTTGTTGGGAATGGAAATTTCGAAGGCTCTGCTTTAGTAGGCGTATTAAGAGCTGTCAGGGGAGGTGGCCAAGAGCGGGTCATTTCCTGGAAAGAGATTGAAGGGAGCAGCTATCAGGACTTTTGCTGTTAGACACAGATCAAGTTTCATGCTTCAAAGTTTCATTTGGATCTACCTGTTCATGTATTTGGACATGTTTCCCCATGGTTGCTACAAAAATAGCGACATGCATTACTAATAGGCAAGAACACAGGATATATCTGCTGAAACACAAAAGGATGCCAGACTTCCAGGTGGAATCCTGACAGCAACCCCAACCCGAGCAGGCCAGCCAGTGGGCACCTGTGTACAGCTGCCCTTCAGCTAAAACACTGCCCCAACAAGAGCTTCTGGGGAGCAATTGAGGCATCAGGGTTTTGCAGCCTCAARCGACAGTGAGGGAAGTGAATCACAGAAACCAAGCTGTTCCACCAGAAATTCAGCATCTCAGAATAGCATTTGACATGCCTCAGGATCAGCACCRCTGGCTTGGGAATCCCAGGGCATTTTCACACCCTGCACAGGGAAGGGGTAACATGGACTCAGCCACAGCCGCCGGGAGCCTGCACGCTGCTCACAGAGTGGGTTCTGACACAAGGGTACAGCAGAGACAGCTTTGCATCAGACCTGGCTTTGCTCTGCATGAATGGACTGGAATTCCAGTGAGGGAGCAGCAGCAGTGCCACACACAGGCATGTGGGAAGGACACAGGTGTGCTGCTGCTCAGGGCCATGCTGCTGGGGCTGGCAGCACGGACACGAGACAGTATGTCCAGAGCCTTTGGAGGAAAGACACTTGGGAATGGCAAGCCCCTGAACTGATGTAGGAGTAGCTCTGGCTGTCTTGGATGACTTGTCAGTGTATTACACTTACGTATTAATGGACTGATCTTACAACTCCAGCTGTATTTAAGGCTGACTCTTATCTTTACTTCTCCTCAGCACACCCCGAAATTAATGACAGCTACATCTGCTGAGTGAACAGCAGGGAGGTATCTTTTCCCCAACCACTAACTTAAGGCATGCAAAATCTAAGCAAACACAGAGATCTATTATTTAAGAGTACCTACCCTCAAAATTTCTTCAATGGACTGCACATCAATGGGGTTGGTTTGCTGTAACAAGAAAGAGGGAAGCAGCATGAGTTTGTTTGGGTTTCTTACCAACTGACATGAGACAAGCATGCACTCAGTGAACATATGCTTACCAACAACTCAATAAATTTCATGGAAGTTCATCAATAATATAATGCTAATAAGGATTAAAATCCCCATCAGAAAGATAGTTATTAATGCACTCCTAAAAAGCCTCCTGTTTTCAAGTCTTTAGTAGAAGATATGGTAAAATAAAGATGAAAAAAGCAAAATGAAGCAGAAYTCATGAAACAATAGTGCTCATTCAGCTGACAGGATTCCCCTTGTTYCATGATTTGCATTCTTCTATGAATCTGTGTGCACTCAGCAGAAAAAGAACTCTGCTTCTTATTTTTATATATGTATGAAGTCCTGACCTTGGAGAAGGAAAAGTAGAGGTGGTTTTAAGTGGAGGAATTATGCACCAGGCCCTTGGACTCATGRAAAAAACAACCACTACCATTAGAAAATATCAAACCAATACAATAGTAACTTGCACAGTTAGGAATAAAACCTTGAATGGACCACTGGGTACAGGCAACACAGTGATTTCTGGAAAAGCCTGCAGGTAGTCTGGATCTGGATCGAGGGACTGCCCCTGTACTGCCCCCACCCGTTTTGCCAGAGCCCAGGCCGTGACCACACACATGTGAGTGGAGATTCCGACAGGACACTCTGCCTGGAATGGGGTAAAACAACTCAGTGCAAGAGGCAAATGGTATTTGCAAAGCTTCTGGTGGTAAATGGAGAAGGGGGCACCTCAGTGCTTTTGGTGTCGAATAAAGCTGAAACCAGTCTGACTCATCAATTCCGAAGTTAAACATCCTGATWGTGAGATGAAGATGCAGTGAAGTACCTGATAAAGGAACAAACATTCCACTGATACTACTAATAACTTATCTAAAACTGCTGAGCTGACACAGCTGGCATGAAGACATCTGACTGACAGTCAATCACTTGATAATAAAAAAGCCCACTCCTGAATTTTAACATTCTCGGAGTGCATGTGCTTCCACACGCTGAGGTGGCCCAGCCGTGGGGAACACCACTTCCCTTCCACAGACCAGCTTCTCAAATACTAACAAGKCATGTGTTTTGAAAGTATCTGTCACTTGCAGTCCTTTCCTTACTGATATCCTCAAAGGAGGCTGGAATGGAAAACAACCAAAGAGTAGCTGAAACAAGCAAAGTGCATCCCAGTTTCTTGTCTATAGACAAGAAATTYGATGGAAGTGTTCAGTCATCAGAGTAACTGGTGGAAGGAAAAGGCCAGGAGGACTTTATTCACATTCAAGGAAGASGACAGTGAGCTACAGTGCCCAACCAGATGGATCTTCCCCAGAAAATGGTAAASAGCAAAGCAAGCAAACACTTCAAGAAAGTAAAAAATTGTCATCCTTGGCCCWCTCTCAGGAAGTACACTCATCTGTTTCCCACATGCTGCACTRTTTACATTGGAAGGAGGAGATGAGGAATGCATTTTCCCTGCAATCTCATTTGTCTGAGTCTACATAAAGCTCTCATTGAGGCAATGCTCATTTGACAAAGCCTCGGCTTTTCTTCAGAAAATCACGTATGGAGAGCTGCCTCTGACCTTACTCACCCAGACAAACGAAAGCTGAGGCACGGYCAGATTAGTCACACAAATGAAAGCAAGGCCTGCAGATGTGCCCCACAGCAGGCAGGAGGAGGGGACAGGCAGGGCAAACAGCAAGGAACTACCACATAGCAAGAGATTGGGATGCTTCGTAATTCACGGTGCCAAAAAAGCAAGCTTCTTTTTCTTCTCAGCAAGCTTAACCTAGTAGCTCAACCTAATTTACTTCTTCATTCAGTAAGCGGTGAACAGCAGACACAGGCACTTGCATCTTCCTAGACAGATTGCTCCAGAAATTCCTGAGATATCCCATGAGAGCATCATAGAAAAATCTGTTCCCACCAAACAGGTTAGAAATCAAGATCCTGCCCAGACAAAGTATTTGAAAACTTTCTGTAATGGATTGATTGCAAMAAAAAAAAAAAAAAATCAGTTTACTTCACCCATTTCAGAAATTTAAGTTTTATGAGGAAGTAAGTGATGACAAAAGTGGAATTCCATCAACCTGAGAATAAGAGAATATCTGCAACAGCCAGTTTGGACCTCTCTTATCCTTGCCAAATAACCCACATCCCCCTTCCTGGAGTTCTTTCTGATGAGCCTGAAAAGACTTTGACATCTATACAGGTTTACATAGACAGAGTATTTGTAGTTCAGTTGTCAGGARGATTCATCATAACCCCCAAGGGTTCAGTGACCGGTTCTTTGCAGGTCCAGGGGCTAAACAGAAACCACTTTCTTCCTCATGGCACAAAAGTTAAAGGAAAACAAACACACAAACCATGAATGTCTGCATCAGCAGCATAAGGACTAKGCTATTTTTGTTGGATTTTTTAAGACACCATTATCAAATACACGATTAAATGTTTCTTCTAGAGATTACAATCACAGGCTGTTCAGGGCATGCACAGGGTTAAATCACACCAAAACTGGTCAGTTCTGCTCCTCCTACCAGTCAGACTGTCCCCATGCCCTAAATCTGTGGGGCACACCCTCTTTCCCTCCATCCCAGCTCCAGTGACACCTCATCTTTTATRAAGCTATGCATCCAGTGCCTGAAGGAGCTGGGCTTTACTTCATCCTGCGTATTTTTTTCCCCTTTTTGCTTGTTTGGTGGTTTTTCTTCCTTCAAGTTACATCTTGGCTGTGTTCCAGCTTGTTAAACCACTAACCCACCATTAAACCACAATTACCACCCAGCAGCAAGGGATGTCCTTGCCAGCTTTAAGAGAAGAGTTCAGGGAAAAGGAGAAATACAGTGCTGCTGCAGGAAGAGTAAAAAAGCCATAAAGCCAAAGAAATTCCTGAAATGAGCTCAGCTCCACTGAGGACTGTGGGTGTAGGAGATCAAATATTACACATTGCTGTCTATCCCTGCTAGCACTTTTACAGCCTTTCCTGGGAACACTGAAATGTGCTCCCCATAGRCAACTCCAGTTAAGCCTGGGGCATATTTGCTGCCTGACACTGACATCTGTACAATTCCCAGCTAGGATTTCCTTATGCCWCATTCACACTCTTTCAATTTGGGAATGACACAATCACCTCCAAATGTCACTTACTAAATGTTTGGTGGTCAAAGTCAAGCACAATCATGGGACACCCAGAATTGTTGGGTTGCTGGGTTTGGTTTGGCCAGTGTTCCCATCCAAACTGCTGCTGTGCTTCAATAACAGCTAGYTCCTGCAGCAACAATGCTAATTTGATTACTAATAATATTAATCATAAYACTGATTTAAAAGTAAAAAAAGGAAAACAGTCACTGAACGATTCACTACTACTTTGATCATAAACTGAAAAAGACTTCAGGCCAAAATAATTTCAAGCATCTACACAAACGTAAGGAACCCTAGAAGTTACTTGAGGAATTAGTCTGTCTTTGCTACAACAGCCTTGCAAAAAATGCACAGGTGCACATACCCACAAAAGAAGAGAGTGAGCTCCTAATTTAGAAAACAATTTAAAATCTGCATGGGCACTCAATTCATACTGCATAGCAACAGCATGACAAAACTCTCAGAAATACTTCCATGTCCTCTCCTCAGGAGCAATTCCAAAATCCATGCACTTTCATGAACACATAGCTCTGCTCATGCCTCAAGCCTTGCACAGCTCTGTTAGGGAATGAAAGAGGAAATCAGGATAATAAGAATCATCCAAAACCAAATTTAACTGCCTAAGGAACCAGCAGGCATACAGAAGAGACACCCCACTGGCAGTGATAATATTTGGGCAATAGATACTACAAAGACTCTAAAGTGGTTGTCCTTTTTTTTTTTTTTTTTTTTTTTTTTTTTTTTTTTTTTTTTTTTTTTTGGTGATGGGGTTAAAGAGCTTCTAAGGTTGTTTCTCTTTTTAAAGTATTCCATTAAAGCTTACAGCACACATTTTCATCCCACTCTGTCACATGTGCCAAATGGAGCTGAAGGACCGTATGGCTGTCATGTGTGGAAGTAGGGGGCTGAAGCTTTCTCCCTGCTCTTTAAATAGCTTGCCTCGTCAGGAGGCTGTTGCAGAGTAGTTTCAAACAAGATGTCAAAAAAATCGCCTCCCAGAGAGAGCTGGCCATGCATTATTTCAGAAGTCACCGCGTGACACGGGCGCGATGTGCGGGCTCAAACAAGGCCAGCGGCACTCGGAGCACAGGGAGCATACAGAGAGGGGGACAGGAGGTCTGAGAGCAGACATTAACTGGAATGGATCCAGGCTGCCTCTCAGGCAAGCATTAAGGTGTTGCAGACCTTTCTGTTCCGTCTCATCTCAGTAATTTCCACCCAAATGCTTATCTCTGCTATTTGCAGGCCTCTGCTGTCACAGCCCGTTTGCAGCTGCCCCCTGACATCCTGTGCACAAACAAGCTCCTTGATTCTCCATCTCAGGTGAAACTGGTGCTGCAGGTGCCCAGGCAGTGCAGGAGAGGAACAGCTACAGCTCATGTGTGTTTCCTGYACTGCCTGGTATCTCCTCCTTATTAAAACTGAAATGTGTGCTTGTATAGCCCAAGTATGACAGCCATCRCTCTTTGCCTGATTTCAGACTGAATTATGAGTACCAACAAAACCCAAGCAAGTGGTGCAGCAAGGATGAGAAAAGCCAGTTATGAGTTCTATACCCTTCATTCTGTTGTCAGGTTTTCTTTGTTTCCTAAGGAGAGCTTTGCCCCTGCAACTATCAACAGAGAAGGTCACCAGTTCTCATGCTAAAAAAAAAAAGAACTTAAAACAAATCACATTTGCAGATGCTTCCCATTTAACACTACATTTTATTATACTTGAAGAGGAATATCTAGCTTTAAATTTATTTTTTCACGTCAGCTGCACAGTCATTTCCACTTGAATGCAATGAAGATCATAAAACTGCATATGCATGAAGGGTTARTTTGAAA